GCAGGGGCTGTGTGTTATTGCCTTTCTTTCTGTCTCCAGCCCCCTGCTCCACACATAGCAAGCGCTTAATATAATGGTGGTTAACTTATCTCTTATGTTGAATTAAAATCTCCCCTTTTCTACCTTCTTTTCCATTGACCCTAGTATTATCTTACAAATACTGTGGAACTACAAACTGTGAACATCTTATTACCGTTAGCTCAAAATACATGCACAGGCATCTCTGAATACTGGCTCAGGTTCCCTAAGTCTGTCTAATGCTTAAGTTGAGTGTTGACGACGATAACTCAAATTTATACAGTATTTCAAGATTTAACAAAGAACATTCTTTATAGCAATCCATTAAGATAGCTTGTACAAGTATTATTATCCTCACTTGCAGATGAAGAAACTAAGAATCATAGAGATACAGTCACTTGCCCAGATTTACAAAGTTACTAAGTGTCAAGAGAGTATTTAAACCTAGGGCCCCTGACTCCAAGTATAGCACTGTTCTCTTGGTGTCATGGGGAGAAAAATGATTGAAAAGAGTGATTGTGTCAATATCTTGGTCGGAAACATTTACTAGTTGTGGGAACAAGTTCTCAGTGACTCAGTTTCCCCATCTGTGCTACCCAATGTCTGTAGGAATCTACTTCTCAAGGTTATCGTGAGGATCAAATGAGACAATGTACAGGAAACATTTTGAAAACCTTTATGTGCTATGTAAATGTTAGCTCTTAATATCTTTTCCATCATTATCACTCCCACCAGAACTCACTGCCTCTCAGTCACTACGTGCTCAGGAAACGTAAACTGATGCTAGTTCTGGATCACCCACCCCCCCCGTAGCTGACATCAATGGAATAAACTGTTTTACATAAGGATCCAGATACTGACGCCCCAAAGTCTGTGGCACTGTGCCTTGCCCTGCACTCAAGACTTACTCCCAGGAGAGATGAAAAAGTCAAGTGGGAAGGTCTGAATAAAGTATATCCACCCATGGTAATGACACTGTGGTTTCCATGGAAACTTTAAACCATGGAGTACTAATAAGTGTCAAGATAGGATGCTCCCTGAAAACCATCGCCTTTGAAAGGGAAGGAGGGAAGGAGGGAGGTGAAAAAAACCCTAAACAGATTTATTAGGCAGGTGGCCATGGGGGTGGGGTGGGGTGTGAGGGAGAATGAGAGGACCATAAGCTATACTCAGATTTTATAACAAATAAAACAGATTTGGGGAGAAAGGTACAACTTATACTCTTAACCACTGTACCATTTAATTTTCTTCCCTCAGCTCTCAAAGGCTAAGTCAGTTGAACAGAAATTTTTACAGGGCCTGCCAAGGTGAAAAATTTTCAAGTAAGGCCCAGTGAGAGACTAACATCTAAGGACCAGCCAAGACAAATTTAAGAGATCAGTTCTTCACCAGCAGATAAGGCAATGGGCTATATCAATGAAGGCATAGTATCCTGGATGAGGGAAATGATAGGCTATACACAGACTTAAAGAGAAAACCGCAGTATGATATATAGTTCTAAGTACCACTTTTTTTTTTTTTTTTTTTAAAGAAGGCTACTGACACACTGGAATGTTTCCAAATGGGAGCAAGTAGGATGGCGAGAAAATTGTACACCAGGTACATAGGGAACAGAAGGACCTGGAAATGCTTATCCTGAAGAAGGGAAGACATGAGAGATGACTTCAAGTATCTGAAGGACTGTAAAAGGACACATAAAAGAGGCTTGTTCGAATTGCAGCAGAAGGAACAGTTTGGCTCAATGTAAGGAAAATTTCAGAGAATCACAGAAATCCAAAATCTTCCAGGAAGAGTTGGCCTCAATTTAACAAAAATTTCGCCAAATTCCAGATTTACAGATACCATAGGCTTAAGGAGAGCTAGATGGAGCCTTGGACAGCACCCAAGTTCAACACAACTGACTTTTTGATTTTGTAAATGAGGAGTTAAGAGACTTGTACAAGTCTCTTACAAGACCTGTTGTACAAGAGGTCATAGTAAAAAGCAGAGTTTGGATTTTAATCTAGGTCCTGACTCTAAATCAAGCACTCTTTCCATGGAATCACGCCGTTCTTCAGAAACCATCTAGTCAAAACAGCACATGACTGAGAATACCCTCTATAACCCTTTTGAACTTACTGCTCAAGTTCCAATTCATCAATGTCCTTCCTAAAACATGGCACTATGAATGAAACACAACCCTGCAGATGTGACCTGACTAGGTCAGAGTAGAGAAGTATCTATCACCTCTCTTGTTCAGGACATTCTGGCTCACTTAACACGACTTAACTTTGCCTTAGCTTTACAAGCTACCATTTTGAGCTTGCTGTCCACTAAAAACCCCAAATCTCTTTTCAGAAGAACTGCTATCTAGCCAAGCCTTCCCCATGCTGTGCCTGTAAAGGTGATTCTTGTTTGAAGCTCAAATATAGGACACTACATTTATACCGGTTACATCTCATGTTATTAGTGCTGTCCAACAATAAACTGCCAAGGAAAACGATAGGTTCTCTATTACTGGAGATCTTGAACTGAGACTGGATAATCATTTCTTGGGCTGATTGGAAGGGGTATTTGCTTAAGTGGGGAGGCTAGGTTAGGTGGCTTCTGAGGACCTGTCCAAATCAGAAAAATCTGATTTTTTTTGGTCACAGCAAACAAACTTATTTGGTGAAGAACAAGTGGATGGTGCCAGGCCTGAAGTTAGAAAGACCTGAGTTCAAATCCAGATTTGGACACTTACTAGCTATGTGACCCTGGGCAAGTCACAACCTCTGTCTCAGTTTCCTCATCTAGAAAACATGCTAAAAATAGCACATAACCTCCTAGGGTTCTTGCATGGATCAAAATGACAAAGTATCTGTAAAGTGCTTAGTATAGTGCCTAGCATATATTATACTCTATATAAATATTAGATATTATTATTAGTAATAATTGCATTGAAAAGGCAATCAAACTGAAGATATCAGAAGTGTTGATGTGAAAAGGGTACTTTGACAAGACCCAGGAAAAGTACTAGATGTAACCCTGTCAACAAATTCAATCCTCTGCTTGGCTCTGAAACCTCCAAAACTCTGCTTACTCCTGAACAAGGGATCTGAAACCATTCTCAGAACAAGAGGAAGCCAGAGGGCCTGAAGGAAAAAAGCAGACAGAGGGCCAAGAGGCATGTGCCTGGAGCCTACAACAGCTACTGCCTGACAGATTTTAAGTGACAGACTGTGCCCTTTCTACTAATAAGCTAGAAGGTGGAGGCCTCCAGTTCCTCAGAATGCTCTCCAGGCAGCTTCTGAACAGGCAAAGAGGCCCGCAGCTGTGGAATGCTCCCCTAATTGGATTCAGAATAGAACTTCACATCCAACTACAGCTCTGCAGAGAGGACAGTGAGCCAATTAAGCCCCGTGCTAGACAGTTTTCACTCCCTATCCTTGAGCCAATTTCATCTAATCACCACTTTGGTGACAAGTGCCTGGTATCATTAGGGCTAGAAGATGCCCCGTGAGTCACTGGGGCTTCTTATGAAGGCTACACAAAGTGAATTAGGGGTGGCTGTCCAAATGCCAATTCTGCCACCAAGGAGAATCAAAAGAACTTTCTTCCTGCAAACTATGTATACCTAAGTCATGACACTTTCAAGGTTATATTCTCCACATCTCCCACATGCCCACAAAAACTCCTTGTGCCTTTGCTCATGCTGCTCTGTATGGCACGGTGGGAAAAGTACTGAGTCTACAGCCTTAGGACCTGGGTTTGAATCCTGATTCTGTTATGCGCCAGCCATATAACCCCAGGCACTTTGCTCCTCAGAGCCTCAAGTTTCCTAACCTGGAGGACTGGACCAGGTGATCTCTAAGATCCTTTCGTGATATAATTCATAAGATCACTTGGGAATATTTTCTCATTACCACCTGATTCCTCAAATGCTCCTCATTCTCTAAGATTTCACTCAGCATCTATCTCCTACAGGAAGCCTTTCCCTCTTATCTCTCCTTTCTCCTAAGTCCCCTAACACTCAAAAGCTGATACTCCACTACCTTGTACTTGAAGTACAGGTGCATGAGAAGTGTGTATGTATGTGTGTGCATGTATGGTTAGTGTATACATACCATACATACTCTATCAATTGACTGATACATACATAGAGTTAGACACTAGGAAAGGGAGATGTATGTATGTATTTCTGTTCTGAATCATACCTGTGTTTTCACTGGGAAAAGGAACAGTCAGGGAGGAAACTCCCTCAGTCAGCACAAATTAGCACCTGCTTTTTAACTGTGGAGACTTGAGAGTTTCCTGGGAAACCAAGAACTAAAGTGACCTCTCCTAAAAGCTGAGAAGTAGGATTTCAACCCAGGTTTCCTAACTCCAAGGTTTGCTATCCATTGCAGAACAGTTCTTCCTCCTCCTTCCCCCACCTATCTAGACAGAGTCTGTCTTCTGCTGTCCTTTAAACTGTCTCGTGTCTGTCAGTCTTGCTTCATTAACAAGACTGCCAACTTTGTGAGGGCAGGGACTTAAAATCCAAGGATATCCCCCTTAGGGCCCAGCACAGTTCTTGCTACATAACAGATTTTCAAAATGAACTTGTGGAGTGAGAAACAGAGAAAACCAGAAAAAGCAAAGAAAAGGAATTATCATTCTCCAGCTTGAAAATGGAATGACTAGCTCCCCTACACCTCCCTCTGTCTCCACATTGACCTATGAACTTATCTTCAGTATAAGGCATTGAGGTTGACATAATATGTTGTTATTTCTAAAGCTGGTGACCCTAAAGTAGGGGCTGGAAGGCCTCACATGGAAAGTACCTTCCAGTTATCAGTGTAGAAATGATTGAAGCCCAAGACTATAATCACTGTAAGACTCCCACCTCAGTAAATGCTCATTGTCAACCCAGAACTAAAGAAAAGTGAAGTTTCAGGTGGGAACAGAAGAGGGAGAGGGAAAGGGAAAGGAAGTGCATGCAACACACACACACGCACGCACGCACGCAGTCTTTCACTCACCTCATGAGAGTTGGTGCCGTGGGCCACTCTGGTTTTGCAAACTATCAGCAAGGGGAAGAAACAAAAAAGGAATGAATGTAATGATTACAAAAGGTGACTAAAATTACCAGATTTCCCAGAAGACAGAGTACGTCGTGAGCAGGAGATATAAATGTCAGCTAACATCTCAAATGTTTTCAGCCTTCAGTGGGAGAGATACCCAGGGGCTTACAATATTGTTTAAGAATTCCACATACAGATTACCACAAACAAAAACTGAGCTCCTCACAAATCATTTAATGCTACCCTAATGCAGATCATGGGGAAGATTGCCCCCCACATGTCTGAAAAGGTATCAGATCTCTGTTCCCTTTTTAAATGGTCTCAGTGCCACCAATGCCACCAAATTATTAATGGTCACTCCCAACATAGCAATGTTATTCCACTGAACAATGGCATCCATTAGCCCAGGCCCAGAAGACTCTAGGAAGAGAGGTCAGGTTTACAGCAAGTTTGCAGCACTTTTGAAAAAAGAATCACAGGTAATATGCATAATTCTAGGACCACGCAAAGTATATTTACATACTGAATGGGAAGGCCAGTCCATTCTTCTCCAGAAGCTGCATGGTGTCTTCTCCACACAAACTTGTGAGCTCCATGAAGGGTGGAGAACAGATCCGTTCATCTACAAGACAAAAGAACACAGAAAGATTTATCAGGCTGGTCAGAGCATTCTTTTTCCTCCCAAGTGGCCTTGCTTCAGTAGAAAACAAATGCGATTTTCCTGGTTTCCTGACTTGTGCTTGGAAATATGATTAGAAATTTCATCAGAAATGTCACACCATTCATTCATTCATTCATTAAGTGTCTACTGTGTGCAGAGCACTAATAGGCACAAAGTGTGGAGACAAAATTTTAAAGCCCTACCTAACTCTAATGTCACCTCTTCCAATAAGTCTTACTCAATAGCTAAGATATACAGCACTTCATTTTGCTACTTCAAACTTGTTATAGAGCCAAGACTTTGATCTCTAGTGTCAGGATTACAGTAAATCCATGGTCTGGAAATCTTTAGGGCAAAAGATTCTCCAGATCCAAAGGATTCTTGCAGGTAGGTAGCACAGTGAATAAAGCACCCAGGATGGAGTCAGGAAAACCCAATTTCCTGAGTTCTAATCTGCGCTCAGACGTTTACTAGCTGTGTGACCGTGGACAAGTTATTTAACCCTGTTTGCCTCAGTTTCCTGAGGTTCATTTCTAAAATGAATGAGAGAAGGAAATGGCAAATCACTCCAGTATCTCAGCCAAGAAAACTCTAAATGGAAGGTTATGAAGAGTGGGGAGTGACTGAAAAACACTGAACAACATTCTCCAAACTGTCTGCAGCGAATCTGATTCAAGCTGCCAGCACCAGTTTTCCTTACAAAGGCCCATTAGAAGTACAATACAATACATTGCTGAGAAACCTGGCATCTGGAAAAGACCCCTGCTGTTTACTTATCATTCTTATTTCTGGCTGGCAGTCTCAAAGTGACTTTTAAATTTTTTTTTTGAAAAGTGCAATATTGGCTTTCAGGGAAACCCAGAGCTTCTGCCTGCATCTCTGTTGCCTCTTGGCCCCACTTGCAAAGCTGAATGCTGAAGTCCTTCAGCTCAGTCACAGGAGGTCAGAGGTGGAAGGAACCTCAGAGATGATTTGGTGCTGGGGTAAACAGGCCAAATCCAAACTACTGCCTCTTTTTGCAAGGCCAGCAAGCTAAGTAAGGATAGTTTTTACATTTTTAAATATTTTGATGTATTTAAAGATACAAAAATTGTTCTTAGCTTCTAGCCTGACCCCAGATCTAGTCTAATTTACCTTAAGAAGTTAAGAGATTCATCCCTTATTTCTATTCAGTTTTATTTGAGAGACTACAACTCTGAAATTAGGATGAAAAGCATTGAGGGACTTAATGTCTTTGCTGTGATTATCTACTAAGGACAGGGAAAACTTCTGCTAGGTTCAACTCAAACCTGAGGGCATTCTTGAAAGGACAGACCTTGTCATGCTCCCTTACTCAAGACACTCCAGTGGTTCCCTATTCTCTCCAGGATCAAAGACAAAATCTTCTCTTTGGCATTCAGTTCAAAATGCTCTCCCCTCTCCCTCTTCCATTTTTCTTACACCTTACTCCCCACCACATACTCTTTGATCCAGTGAATCTGACCTCCTTGCAATTCCTCTAGCAACATATCTTCTACCTCCTGGCATTTTCACTGGCTGTCTGGAATGTGCCTGGAATGCTCTCCCTCCTCATCTATTTCTCCTGGATTCTCTGGCTTCTCTTTAAGTCTCAACTAAAATCTCACCTTCTATAGGAAACCTTTCTCAACCCTTCTTCATTCTAGTGCCTTCCCTCTGTGAAAAAGATATTTCTATTTATCCTGTATATAGCTTGTTTGTTCATATTTGTTTACTTGTTTTCTCCCCCATTAGACTGCAAGGTCCTTGAGGGAAGGAACTGTCTTTTAGCCCTTTTTGAATCCCCAACGCTTAGTATAGTTCCAGGCATATAGTAAATGCTTAATAAATGTTTATTGAAACAAACTGAATTCTCTGGTGGTAACACTGCCCGTGGTCTTCGTGGGACTCCCAAGAGATCAACTACTCTTTCAGGTGCATGTAAGCTAAGTTTCTTCCAACCAAGAGTCCCTAATGAATTACTCAGGAAGCTGGAAAAACTCATGAAAAGGGAACAGGGTAAAAGAACATTCACACAAATGTGAACGGAAACAAATATTTACTAGCATTCTACATTTGACTAAATGTACTGATATTCTGTCATCAGAATCTCATCTGGAATAGATTAGATATAACAGAATCAGAAACAACTAAATTTAGTGATGGCCGATAAACTCCTATACATGAACAACTTGGGAAAGGACTTCCTCATTGAACAAGAAATTGTAGGTCAACTGGAAAGCAGTTTGGTAGGAAGTAGGTTTAAACTAGTATCACATACCATAAACAACAATAAGTACCAAATGAATATATGACTAAATGCAAAAGGCCACATCATGAAAAAAAAGTTACCAGAGATTAGAAGGAAGTACTTTTCACAGCTATAAATGGTTAAGAAGAATTCTTAAACAAGGGACAAAACTGATCATAGAAGACAAAATAAACAATTTCAAAATAAAAAATTAAAAAGCTTCTGTACAAACAAAATCAATTTAGCTAGAATTAGAAAATTTTCATACAGGAAAAATCATTGAATTAAGTATTTCTGAAAAATCTAATTCCCAAGACATACAGAGAATTAACAAAATATATAAAACCCAGAGCCAAAGATAAATGGTCAAAGGACTGTAGTTCTAAAATTAATTATAAACTTATCTTTGTCAGACGCTCATTATTGATGTCATTCATCTGGCTAAGTAGTTCACAGCATATACAATAAAAATGTAAATTAAACCAACCAAGGTTTTATCTTATATCCAGCAAACTAAAAAATATGTACGTGTATACACAAAAATCAATGCTTGCATGGATTGTGGGAAGAAAGACACAGTAACAAAATATTGGTGAAACTGTAGATTAATATAACCATTTGAGAAAACAACTTGAAATTAAATAAGAAATGCATCTGTTCATAGCCTTTAACTAAAGAATCCTACATTGGAGCATATGCCTCAATGAGTTCAAAGTCAGAAAGAAAGCTCTCATAAATATCAGAGTTTCATAACAGCATATTTTGTGGGAGCAAAGAACTGTAAATAAATTATAGTATATTAATATAATGGAATATTGTTGTCCCTTAAGAAATGATGAATATAAGGAATTCAGAAAAACAAGATAAGTCTTGCGTAAACTGATGCAGAATGAAGTAATCAGTACCAGGAAAACAATACGCATAAGGACTACAATAATGTAAATGGAAAGAATACTAAATTGAAGCCAAATATTTTGTAACCCTATTGAACAATCTTGGCCCCCAAGAACTAAGGAATAAATGCATTTCTCTCTTTTCCTGAGGCAAAGTGGGAAACTGGAGGTTTAGAATGCTGACTATGCTGTCTGTGAAGGTTGTTTTCATTCAACTGTCTTTCTTTGTTAAAATACAAAGTTCAATAAGTTAAGTGGATGAGTGAAGGTGAAAAGTACATCTGGAAAGGAAAAGATAAAAATAAAAGACATGAGTAAAAACTAAGGGGGGAAAAAAGGAAGAATCTTAGTTGCCAGTCTAAATTACCAACATTTTCACACTTCAAAAGTTTGAGTCATATACTCTGTATGCCACCACCATTTACCTCTGTCTGAGTAATTAGCAATTTTCCAAAGGTGTTCTAGCTAGATGTCAACATTCACTGTAGCTTAAAGGTAGTTCCTTGCTTTTTCTACAAACCAACACCAAGCTGAGCTTAAAGCCAAAGTTGCTAATGCTTGCAGAGGAAGAGTCTAGAAATGTGAGGGATGGGCAAAGTCTAGTAGGAAACTGCCAAAAATTACTGGGCTAAGGAGGAGAGCATCTGATGTTGGGAAATTCTGGATGACTGGTTACTCTACCCATTTTTTTCACAAGGAAAGATGAGATAGGGATGGAAGAAGGAAAACATTTCTGAGGCAACGATTAGAGAGTCTCAGGAGGAAAAAAAAAAGTTAGTAGTTAGAAGTGATGACTTTGGGGAAAAGAAGATGGAGAAGAGAAAGATTTGGCAGAGGGTTAGACACACACACACACAACAAAACCAGTTATTCTATTACTAGTTGGTAAACACCCAAAGAGGTCAATCGTAGGAATAAAAAGTGAAGGGGGACCCCCCCCTTGAGAGTGCAAATGACTTGTGTTTGAGTACCTGCCCTAATTTAACTTGCTTTGTGACCTTACTCATCATTTAACTTTGCTAAACCTTTGCTTCCTCAACCATAAAACCAGCATACTATTTACACCACTTACACTTCACAGTGCTTGAAAAATCCTAAATTGATATATTAAATAGGAGCTATATTATTAAAAGGGGCAGAGGCAGGGGCAAGGACAGAGGCAGGACCAGTTTGGGCTTTAGTATAGGCTTCATGCCCCCTGGGGACAGTATGGTATACTTAAAATGAGCACTGGACTGAAATTTGAAGACTTGGGATTGAGTTAAGCTTTGATAGTAACTACCTGTACAATCTTGGGCAAGTGACTTCCACTCTAATAGTACCCAGGAAGACAGACTAGGAGACACAGGATTGAAACGTACTCCTTCCTCATCTCCACCTCCCTTTTGGAATAAGGAAATTAGTTCCTTATGCAAAGTAAGATTCTTAGTTACCCTTAAAATTATATGAATTCACCATGGGAATCCCATGGGTTGAATTATTTGGAAGAAAATGAAATCACGTGGGATGTTCCCCTTTTATTACCACATATACTCCTTTTAAGGAAAAAAAAAAAACTGTTTTACCTTTAAGCTAGAGATGTTTCTGTGGGTAGAATTGATGTGCCCCTGCCCTGTATCTAACTGTAGTATTTTTAGACGTGTAGGGTTGCCTGGGAACCCACAGAGCTGTAGTTGCCTAGAAAGAAATCGAAAAGACAAACCACTGCCTTGATAGTCTCACTACTTTTTCACAAAGAACACTTCCTCCAAGAACCTTCAAGGACTCTTGCAAAGGGGGGGGGGGGGGGGAGAGGAGATTGACTGTGAAGAAGGCCTTGA